CATTGCTGTAATTTGGAGACTAAAGGATTGATTAAAGACCCCAAATATTGGTTAGTATCAATATCTCTAAGTTCTTTTATTAACTATTTTATGTATCTCTGCTCATTCTCTCTCTTCCCACCTATATATGCATTTGTTTGTAAAACTGTGTTCTAACCTTTCACACTTAGTTTATGTTGGTTAGGTGATTTTTTTTTTTTTTTTAAGCAACAGAAGCTTTGGGTTTGTCTCCAAATCCATTCAGCCACTCCATTTCTTTTGACTGGTAAATTTAGGATTTTGTCTTTTTTTTTCTTTATTATGTTTTATTTGTTAAATGTCCATTATATTATGTGTTATTTCTATTTATGTTTGTTTTAAAGCCCCACCGAGGTTAGTTTGAGATGTATGTGTATGCATTAGACGGTCAGGTCGCTAAGTTTTGATAGGTAAGATATTATTATTTTCCTCCTCCTCCTTCCTGTTAAGTGTTTAATGTGTCTGTTGATTCAATACCATCATTCTATATTTTTATACAAACATCATTAGAGTACCTTTCATGTGCTACTTGGTGTAGGTAAATTCTTTCAGCTTTTCACTTTTCAGTGGAGCTGCTTATTCATCTTTTTGTCTTTTATGTTAATCTTTCTGGGTAAGGAATTCTGGGTTAGAAGTCTTTAAAGTACTTTATATATTTCTTTCCTTATTTTCTCTGTAACGATCCTGCAGTCTTATTAATGTTCCCTCATTTTTTTTCTCTTCATTATTTAATATTCTGTCCTTGTTGTTGGTTTTCAACAGTTTTATTATAGTGTGTGTTTATATTTGTTCCTCTGTTATTATTTTGATTGGAACTTTTGGGTCTCTTGGACAAAATGTCTGGTTTGTTTCCCAGATTGAGATGATTTCAACAAGTATTTCTTAGAATAAAATTTCTATGTCTTCTCTTTTTCTTCTCTTTCTCAGACTCCAATGATATGGATATTAATTTAAGTTGTTCCAAAGACTGCTTATGCTATTTTCTTATTTTTATTCTTTTTTTCTCCATATTGTCCTATTTCTGTGTTTCCTGACATTTTGTTTTCAAGTTCATTAATTCTCTGGATTGTTTCTGTTTTTTAATTGTTGAGCCTCTCAAATCAACAACACTAATAGATATGTTTTAATCAGTTAGATATTTATTTGCTCTGTTATTTCTAATTGTAGCCGTTTCATATTTTGCTTATCTTTTTTTTTCTGTCTTTTTTTTGGAGTTCCATAAACATTGTTATGCCTGTTATATTGAACTGCACTTTTGTCATGGTCTGCAGTTCTGGGCTGGGTCTGCTCTCAGGGTTGCTTTGCTTGCTGCTTGTTTTGCTCAACCTATGGTGTGATTTTTTGTATCCTAATTTTTAATTTTTTATCTATACATATACTGTCTTTGTACCTCTTACAAAAAAATTGTCTTTGTACATAATCTGATACTATCACTGGTGCGTTTATTAAAGGACTGGGAACTAGAACACAAAAGGATCACCTCAAATACTCAGAAATTTGAATGTCCTACTGTGTTGTGGGTGCCAGAGTCGTGATCAATACAGACCTCATCTTTGAACTTAGTGTCTTTTATAGTCTTATGTCCACTTCCATTCCAGGCTATTTACAAGAATTAGATATATTACTGGGCACATGTTATAGTTAATATGGTGTCACATGCCAGGAGCTTTTCTTTCTTCTTTTGTAGGACAGAGACTTATCTGGAGTACTTGCTCCTGTTATTGACAGGTGTTTGAGGTTTAGTTTGTTTAAGCATTTCTTTGTTTTGGCTTTGATTCTGGGTTGTTGGGTGGCAAGTATTTTGAATATTTCACACGGGGCTTTAAATAGTAACTCTTTGGAGCCTGACAGGAGGCAAAGGGATTAAAGTCTCTGTACTATCAAGGTATCACCAGCCAATGTGGCATGAGTTCCATTCCCAGCCAGGGAGCTGACCCACATGGTACAGCAGACCTCTCCTGTCTCTCCCACTGCTCCCCTCAGAAGTGTATTGCAGTAGGTCCACCTGTTCTGCTCCCCACTCTGTCTCTGGTGAATTCTCTCACTTTCTGCAAATCTTGCCTGCACCCCAGTTGTTGTATGCTTAAATTAATAAAACAAATACTTTAAATAAATAAATAGCAATCCCTTTTCAAGAAACACAGATATTCTGACCTGTTTCTCTCTGCAATTCAAGATCTAACTGTTCAATATTGAGAGCTCAGACTCAAGTCAGTGATTCTTGCTTTGCAGCTGCACCTCTGCAGCTCTCCAGTAGTTTACCCTCCATTCTGGATGCCAATTCGCATAACCCATTTTCAGAGCGGCAGATGCTGTATGGCATCCTTGATGTTGGCATATGCCCAAGATAGAAGCTGTAAGGGGTTCTGCACAGCAGCACCCCTCCTTCATATGGGTTTTACTCCCTTGTCTATAAATAATGTTCACTTGAAGTTTTTCTTATCCCTTTCTGTGGGGCTCATCTACTCTTCTAGTTTCTGGTGTCTGCTGTGTTAGTCATTTTATTCTTCAGTGAGATGGGGACTGGTTTTGTTTTACTGCATTTTAGTGGTGAGTATCTAGAGGGCACTACCTAGTGTTTTCATTCTTCAACAGCCTAGTGTATTCATTCTTCAACAATCTTGCAGGACAAACCTGCTTTACCTTCTTTCTTGCATCTTCTTATTTACTCCTCCTTTCCTTCCCTTCTTGTTTATTTAGGGAATAGACTATTAGCACATAAGAAGGACCAAATACAGATCCAGCACTTTAATAAGCTTGTTTCAGAGATATATGCAGATACTCTAGAGTAGTAAGCTGTTCTATGTCCTATAAGGGATATTTAAATCATGTGTTGATGGTGGAGAAGAAAGTAGAACTAGTCTGCCTAAGGGGACAGAAAAGGCAGTGAACAGGACGTAACTTTGACCTCTTCTGGTATTCACATGCTCTGTGCCTGGTATTCAGCATGGGTCTGAAGGCAAAGCACAAACTCTCATAGCCATTACTGGGTAAGAGTATACGCCCATAGATTGATTTAACTACTATAAGTAATGATTAAGATGGAAGTAATAAACTGGGCTAAAGCATGATGAGTGGGAAGAAATATGATAGTTTCAGGGTATATTGGGGTTCCAATATATTTGAAGATTATGAAAAAATGTCCAACATCACTTGTAATAAGGGAAATACAAATTAAAAACACAATGAGATACCACCTCACCCCAGTGAGAATGGCACATATTAAAACAACTAACACCACCAAATGTTGGCGAGCATGTGGAGCAAAAGAAACTCTACTTCCTTTTTAAGCTGAGAAAACAAAGGCCCTGAGACACTTCATCAATTTCCTAAATGCTCAAAATTGTCCCATGGAGGAGCCTAGGCAAGAATTCAACTGCCTCACTACCTTACCAGAGATCCCTTTGCAGCTACCTTTTATCCTGTAGCTGAAGAAGGCCATACACAAAAACAAATAAAGTGGGTCTGAACAATTTATTGCATTGGCAATAAATTCCTTCAATGCCTGCAAAGTTCCCTATATTTCTTTGAATTACTCATTAATCAAGGGTGGATGGGTATTTTTCTTCCTCACGGAGGACAGAAAACCTAAAATCATTTCCCCCTTCATCTCATCTGCCCTGTCATATCATCTCTGAAGATATCTGACAGGATAAAGTGATTTGGACACTTGGTCACATAATTAGTTCCTAATTTTGTCAGACCTCTTCCCATGAGTGTCACTGTCTAATAAACACAGTTCTCCACAGTGACCCAGAGGCTGGGCCAAAGCCACCATTTGCTGAAGTAAAAACCATAAAGAGACATATTCAGACCCCCCCCCCAACCATTTCTTTCTGCAGGAAGTAGAGTCTTTTACATGTCTTACTAGAGTTTTACTAATTACATTTATTTGGGTCTACCCCAATGTATATGGAAGTACTTGTTGACAAAAGACCCCCCACCCCAGGCTTTTGGAGGCTCAATTCTGGTCTGTCTACTGTAGAGTTGTTTTTTGTTTTTGTATTTTTCAAAAACCCCACTTCCAGGGTTGGTTTGGGGGGAAAAGGTTTTTCAGTGATTTCAAAATGACAGTGAGAATCAAAACCCTGGGAATTGACATTTCTATGTAAATTCCATTTTTTTTTGGCTTACCTTGAAAGGGATCCTTTTCTCCCTTATCCAAAAAAAAGCAGCACATCACATCCATCCACTACAAGAGAAAAAGAAGCCCCAAACGGAACCACACAGACTTCTGTTTTACATTTAACATTACAACAAAGTTAACCAAAGTGTTTCTCTTTGTATTTGGAGAAGAGAGTGGGCAGGACAAGGGTGAAAGAGGCACAGAGTGGAGAAATAGGTAGACATTCAAAATAGTCTGCTGTTAGGATTTTTCAGTAGTTTCTTGCCTTGAAACATTTATAACTCTGGGTTTCTGAATATAAAAAGGAAACATACTTAGTCTGCTGAGCTAACGTGACATTCGAATTCCAAATTGAACACAGTTTGGTTTGGGTTTTTCAACAGTGGCAGAATCAAGCTGGCCACCGAGAGAAAAGCTATGGGGTGCCAATTAGGAAGCACGAAATTAAAGCGAAGGATAACGGAAAGGGGAAAAGGTCAAGATGAAAGCTCCAGCGAAGAGTGACAGAGAAAGAGAATGGCAGCCTGGCTGCGCTGGCCACCACGGAGGTGGAGAGCCAGACGCGTGGAGACTGACAGGTGGGTGGCATGGGGTAGGGGTGGCTAGGGAGTTAGGGGGATGAGGTCCTGCAACTCCAGAGCAGCGCACGTCACCCAGGCGACGCCCTCCGCATCTGCCGGCAGCAGAGAATGGGGCGAGAAGACGCTCGGGCCGGGAAACCGCTGCGGCAGGGGGAGGCTGGAGGCAAGAGGAGGGAGGAGAGAGGCGGGCCATCGGGCTTCCCACCCGGCCACGGAACCAAACGCCCACCCGCCGCGCTCCGGGCGTTTCCTCTCCCTCGGACGCGCAGCCGCTGCCGAGCCACCCAGGCTGCCTGGGCTGGAGGGCTCCCTCTCCCGCCGCTGGGGAGGAACTAGACAGAATCCCGGCGGTCCAAGGGCGTGCTTGGCTGGGGAAATGAGAGGACGAGACCTGGTGAAGGGCCGAGGAGGGCAGCACTGATGCTAGTTGGAGCCGGGACTACCAGCCTCTGGCGATGAGATGAGCAAGGCAACAGAGATGCCCTAGCCCGGTGCACGCGCCGGGCAGAGCGCGCAGGTGGGGCTAAGCTCTCCAAGGTGCGCCCGGCGCGGGTACCCAGCCCGCGGGAGGATGGGCGCCGACGCCCCGGGGCCTCACCCGTCGCTACAGCCCCAGAGCCCGCAGCAAACCCGGCGGCTGGCCCGCGCCCTGTGCTCATGTATGTAGGTTGGGCACTTGACCCCAGGGTGAGGGTTTATTTTTGGGTGCCCATTCTGGGACGTGCCTTGTAACCCTGCTGTTCTGAAGGAGCCCCCTTCCCCCAAATTTGTAAATACGGGCGACTACTCCCCGGCCGAGATCCACGGAGTTGGGTATGGGAGTCAACAGAGGGCGAGGATAACAGAAGCTCTCCTGGAGGGGTATTAAGAAAGAGGGAGACAGATGCCCTGGATCTTGCAGAATTGGGGGTGGGTGGGTTGGAGGGGGCCGGTCGGGTAGGGATGGACAAGGCGGAGAAAGGCTAGATTGCCCCCACCCTGCCGCGTCTGCCCCTTGGGCAGCCAAAACTTTGGAATATAGAAAGACATTTTGAGACTGAGTGTTAGAAAAGATTACCTCTCCTCAGCGCCCTGCATTCCCAGCTACACCTCTGTCTCATCGCTAAGACCCCTCCCAGGTAAAAGCAATGATGGGACCAAGCGCTTAAACCTGCGCGTGTTCTCTCGCGGTCGCTCCATCGCCGAGTAGAGTGTTAGACTTAAACTGTAGACGCAAGAGCGCCAACCTTCCTAATCCCGGATCCCTCCACCAGGGGTGGGTCGGAAACAGCCTCGTGCAAAGCCGAGCCTGGGGAGGTGAGCGGGAAGTGGCAGCTGCTCCCAGGAGTCCAGGATTTAAAAAGTTGTTGGTAATGCGCCACCGAGTCCTAGGGGCTTTCCTTGACCACCCCCACTTCCTTTCCCCAAATGCCAGAAACGAGAGAGGGGAGGGTCCCCGCTAGTCTTCTGGGACGGACGCCGCCTCCAGCTCCACTGCGTAATCTTTATTTAATACGCTCTGGGCACGTGTGGCTAGGTGCTAGGAAGGACACCTTAGCTCCAGCCAGGATCATCTGGTTCCACCTGAGCTCTGTGGAGGGCGCGGGCACGATCCGCGGCATCCCCGCGGCTCTGCCATCCGCTTTTGGTCGTTTCGACTGTAATCACGACTACGTGAGAAACATTGCCGGCCACTGTTTTCCTCGGACCTCGCTTCGTAGGACTCGACAGTGTGTGATGTCTGAGAACTCCGGCTGTGTACCGACGCTGGGCAAGCTGCCCCGCCCGCGTGGTCCAGCTCCTCACCCTAGAACGTAGAGGGAGCCCCAGCAACGCCGAGCCGGGTGGGGCCGGGTAGCGCGGGCCGCGGGGCTTAGCTGTGCTGCTGTTCTCTCCGCAGGGACGGCGGTTCCCGGCCGGTGGCGGCGCGCTCCCGGGCTGTGAATGCGACTCGTCCCTCGGCGGCGCCCCCCGCCCGCCCGCCGGGACGTGGTAGGGGATGCCCAGCTCCACTGCGATGGCAGTTGGCGCGCTGTCCAGTTCCCTCCTGGTCACCTGCTGCCTGATGGTGGCTCTGTGCAGCCCGAGCATCCCGCTGGAGAAGCTGGCCCAGGCGCCGCAGCCCGGCCAGGAGAAGCGCGAGCACGCCTCTCGGGACGGCCCGGGGCGGGTGAACGAGCTCGGGCGCCCGGCGAAGGACCAGAGCGGCAGCGGCCGGGACTGGAAGAGCAAGGGCGGCCGAGGGCTCGCCGGCCGAGAGGCGTGGAGCAAGCAGAGGCAGGTTTGGGCCGCCCAGGGAGGGGGCGCCAAAGCCGGGGACCTGCAGGTCCGGTCCCGCGGAGACACCCCGCAGAAGGAACCGCTGCTCAGTGCAGCCTTGCAGGACTCTATGGTGCCTGACCTGGCGCCCACGCCCGAGCCCCCGGAGGAGTATGCGTACCCCGACTACCGCGGCAAGGGCTGCGTGGATGAGAGCGGCTTCGTGTACGCGATCGGAGAGAAGTTCGCGCCCGGCCCCTCGGCCTGCCCGTGCCTATGTACTGAGGAAGGGCCACTGTGCGCGCAGCCGGACTGCCCGAGGCTGCACCCTCGTTGCATCCACGTCGACACTAGCCAGTGCTGTCCGCAGTGCAAGGAGAGGAAGAACTACTGTGAGTTCCGGGGCAAGACCTACCAGACTCTGGAGGAGTTCGTGGTAAGAGGCCGCGCCAGGCGGGCGACTTTGCATCTCCCAGGAAGGGGTGAATCAGCTCTGTGCACTCTTCCCCCACTTTGAAGAAGAGGCGCTCTCTGGTTCTCAGAGGTGGACAGCAGCGCTGTGCTCGGGTCCATTTAACCCGACCTCTTTTTTTCAGAGCAGAGGTAATCTTTTAAAGCAGTGTGGCCAGTCCACATTAGTTCCTTTGCTATTCGCTATAAAAGGGTTTCATTAGAATGAAGCCCGTGACCAAGAAGGGAACTCCTGCACTGGTATTGCCTGTACTTGTAGCATTCATTGACTGCTCCTGATTTAAAAGTGTTGCCTGTGAAATGCTCAGCCTGTTTTCAAAGACAGGTTGTATTTGAGATAGAATATTTAACTAATGTCCAAGTAAGCTAGACCAGTCATATAAATACTCTAACTTCCTAGAGTATGTGTTCAGATTATTATACAAATGTTCAAAAAATTAAGAAACAAAACAAACAAAAGCACTTGCTCATTGAATGTCAAAGCATAATGGATTGCAAAAACAAGAAGTCCAGCTTATGATTAAAACGTATTTCATTTTAGATGAATAGTAATATTAATAGTACTGGCCATGTCCAGAATGCCTACTTTAGGTCAGGCTTAAGGCTGCCCTTTTATGTGCATCAACTAATTAAACCCGATGCCTTGCTATAAAGTATATTATTATATATTATGTCCAGTTCTTAGAGAAGGGGAAACTGAGACATTATTTAAAGGAGTGCTGAAGACAACGTGGCTGTTAATCAGATTCACTTCTTAAACGAAGCACTTCTACTCTACAGCTGATGCTTCCCTTGTGAGCCAAAGCCTAGCCCCACAGGGACTCTGATTGCAGTGCAGACCCTGTCTAGAGCACAAGGCATTCGGGGTAGGGAACAGATCCCCTTCCTCCATTGTACTCTGAAAGTCCTGCCTCGCCATTAGTGGGCCTGTGCCAGCCTTCTGCCTCCCTTCAGTGAGTCCATACCCTCAGCTTTTCCATGGTCGAGTGGACTTGGCAAGCCAGAGGTTCACTAGGCAGCAGAAGATACTTTGGGACAGCCTTCAAAAGTAAGCAGGGCAGGCAGGTGAGGCACAATCCTGCAAGTGTCCAGAGCACAGCCTTTGAGTCTGATTAGGATGTTTCTAGGATGTGCCTCCAACCTCAGTGTTGTAGGTATCAAAGTCAGGATGGACAGATGTGTAGATGATGCACAGAGTGTGGTAAGAATGCTGGAATTCACAAACCGGAAACATGAATTTCCTTTCTGACTTGTCAGTGAGCGGCTGCAGGACTGATTTTCCTTTGTGATCTACTGTTAGATAGTAGGGTTAGTAATATTCTATGCTAGGGTTAGTACTATTCGATAGTAGGGTTAGTACTATTAGATAGTAGGAGCTAGAAGGGTAAGGGCCAGCTGTGAGTCCCAGGTTTGTGATGCCATGGGGCAGAGTACAGTGATCTCCTGGGTAAAGAGGTGACTCTTCCTAAGGTTCATCCCAGCTCCTGACACTATCTCAGCTTAATACTCACAGTTCTTAGTTTCCATCTTTTGGAGAAGTAAGATAATTTTGATAAGAAATTAATATGAACCAGCCTCTGGCTAAAATGCATATGATCAGGAGCCCTACCTTCAAAGTCTTTAATGTCTACAGGGGAGCCTGGTAGATACCTTCCAGATATTTTAGGCACAACACAAAAGTGATGAAGCAGAGGCACACATGTGTGCTGGGGGGCCCCAGAACAGGGTACTTCCTGTGTTGGCTCAGGGTGGGCTATAGGTGTGGGCCCAACCTTTAGTGCTTTAGGTAGGTTCATTGAAAAAAAAAGTATCATAAAATCAAAGCTAAGCAGTTCATTTTTAACTAATAGCATTTATTGTTTCTGCATATAATTTCATAGTCATTTCTTGGATGTGTCTCATGAGGTAACTGATAATTAATATTAATAGCACATCATACACCCAAGCACATCACAGAGTAGCCATTATTATACCTGAGATCACAGGAAGAATTCAAACTTCTGCTTTAATAATTCATAGCTAAGTGCTATGAGGTCACAAAGCTGCCCTTGCAAATGGGAAAGGGGGGAATCTTTTACTTGACTCCTGTTTTTACAAGTCATTCATCAATAAGGAGGATTTCCTTTAAACTCTGGGTATGGGAGCAACAAATAGCCATTTGAAAAGATTACAATTTGGGAAAGAATTTAAATATTAATAAATGCTATTTTTATAGTGTATCCTTTGTCCATCAAGTAGCACTTCATTCTTAACTTTCATCCAATCATTACCCGCATGGGGAAATTGCATAAATGTTAC